TAGTAGTAGTAGTAGTAGTAGTAGTAGTAGTAGTAGTAGTAGTAGTAGTAGTAGTAGTAGTAGTAGTAGTAGTAGTAGTAGTAGTAGTAGTAGTAGTAGTAGTAGTAGTAGTAGTAGTAGTAGTAGTAGTAGTAGTAGTAGTAGTAGTAGTAGTAGTAGTAGTAGTAGTAGTAGTAGTAGTAGTAGTAGTAGTAGTAGTAGTAGTAGTAGTAGTAGTAGTAGTAGTAGTAGTAGTAGTAGTAGTAGTAGTAGTAGTAGTAGTAGTAGTAGTAGTAGTAGTAGTAGTAGTAGTAGTAGTAGTAGTAGTAGTAGTAGTAGTAGTAGTAGTAGTAGTAGTAGTAGTAGTAGTAGTAGTAGTAGTAGTAGTAGTAGTAGTAGTAGTAGTAGTAGTAGTAGTAGTAGTAGTAGTAGTAGTAGTAGTAGTAGTAGTAGTAGTAGTAGTAGTAGTAGTAGTAGTAGTAGTAGTAGTAGTAGTAGTAGTAGTAGTAGTAGTAGTAGTAGTAGTAGTAGTAGTAGTAGTAGTAGTAGTAGTAGTAGTAGTAGTAGTAGTAGTAGTAGTAGTAGTAGTAGTAGTAGTAGTAGTAGTAGTAGTAGTAGTAGTAGTAGTAGTGTGTTGTGCTCGTTTGTGTTGTTTCTTGTTAGTTTGTTCCTTGTTCTTGTTTGTTGGTCATTGATTTTTGGCTTTAATATTCAAAGAAAGGTAGTACTGGTAGTACATAATTGGGCGCCGTAGCTGGTTGAAATTGACTTGTTTTCTTTTTCAAATTCTGTCGGTTTTTGTCGGTTTCTGTCGTTGTTTTTTTTGAGGTGTTTTTTTCTCTGGGGGGCCTTACGATCTGTTCACCTACGGTCTCTTCCCCGAAACTGTTTTAATGACTGGTGAGCTGTCGCCGCTTTTGCCAAAAACCTTGGCCGCAATAACCCGTTTCCGGCACTCCCCCTTCAAAAAGATGAGGGAAGGTAAGGTCCGAGCCAGCAAGCAGGGAAGCAAAACAGTCTGGCAGGAAGAAACCCCGAAGCTCACGCAGGCTCTTCTTCCACGGCATCTCTCCGAAATTGCCTTCCCTCTGTCGCTTGGCGGCGCCCTTAGGTTTCGAGCCTGTGCGCACGTCTTCGACCAGCATGAGAATGTCAAATTTGGCGCCCTCATCCTGCTTCCATCCTCCGGAACCCCGTTGCTGGCGCACCACGCGGATCATTAACTCCCCCAGCACCAACTGCTTGAATCATATTGGTATCACGACGCTCATGCTGACCACCTGCAAGAGTTGGGCTAACGCCATGCGTGCCACCAGGCCATCCCGCGGTGTTGTGCCTCGCGCTCTGCGACGGAGAGCTGCGGCAGAAAATGCTCTGCCAAAAGCAGCACCATATTGAGGGGGACCGGGGCAGGCAGTTCTCGCCAACGTGTTGCAGACGAGGGGACGCGCTGCGTTTCCGGAGGGTCCACGCACCCCGATGGTGAGCAATGTCATGAGTGATTCCGGGCCTTCTGCACACCCGTGCCAAAGAGCCCATGAAGGGGAGAGTCCGTGTACTGCGAAAGGCCTCATCCCATTGGGGCAACTGTGTTGTAAGCTCCCCGTCCTTGAATGCGCAAAATGTTCAGCCCCTGGCCAACGCCTCCAAGCACTCCCAAGTAGGAAGCCACACGCAGTCACTGTCGCTTTGCGCATGTATGAGCAGGATACCTGGCCAATGCTTGCGTCTGCCAGTGACTCCTGTTTTCAAAGCAGCCGTCCCACGGAAGCTAAACGGCAAAGCAAAGAAGGGGGCATCAGAATTCCCCCGAGAATAGCGTGAAATGACATGTGCCAAGAGCGCCCCAGAGTAGCAGCACAAATGGACGCGGATGTTTGCGCGCTCCCACCGCGCCGCGCCAAATGCCGTAAAGGCGGTCCCAGCACGCATGGGCTGGGAGGTATCGTAAATGTCAAAATACGCATGCAAGTTCTCCCCAGGCGTTGAAGCCGCATGAGTTTGGAGCAGCACGGGGTGTTGCCCGTGAGCTAGCCAAAATTCGGCGCGTGCAACTGCACGTTTCAAATGTTGTTGACAGCTTAGCTTGCCTTGCGACTGAGGACATTTCAAGCTGGAATCTCAAAAAAGCGTGGAAACCCTGCAAAAGGGGACATTGGTCCAGACTGGCAATAATTTTGTTCCCGCCGGCATTGTTGTTAGTTAATTACTCGCAAGCCTCCACGAGTCTTGCAGAAATGCCCGTGAGCAGCGAGGGTTGACCCCCCATCATGGCAAGTACTCGTAGGTAACACGGCAACTAGTTGTGGACTGGCATGCAGTTTGCGCTTAGGAGGGCAGGCTAGGTTTGTCTCAAAATGGGCCGCTACAGCTGAGCATAGCAACATCCAGCCGGTGAAGACTATTCTAGTAAGTCCCTATTAGCAATGTTTCGGCCGCCCCTTGCCTCAAACAGCTGTTCTGGCGGCGCTGACCGCGGCAGAACGGGCTCATCAGGTGCCAGGGCTAATCAGTCGCGTCGTTGGGGATGAGGGGGTTGTCGCACTTGCCCAGACTGCAGCATGGCTTCGCTGACTGCTCTGCTTCCCGAAGCCAGCTGGCAACTGTTTGCTTCGACGCGTTCTTCTATGACTGCGGTGTTTCTCCTCGACTAGTCGTGCCACGAGGTTCTCCCTGTGCCGTTCCCCAACAGCTGTGAAAAGGCTGACGACGGGCTCGTACCGAGTGCCCAAGCAAGGTTCGACTTGAAGTGGCCCATGGGGGAGCCCACGTGAGGATTCGACATTTAAAAGACATGTGTGGTTGCAGCATGGGCCAGCACTCCTTCCCCCCAAGAAGGCTGGCCAACTGGTGGGTTGCCTGGTTGCTTGCCTTTCCACCATGTTGCTCAATAGCCACCTTGAAAGGATCCTTCGGAAAACCTTTCTCAAACGGGTGTTTCATCAAATTAGGGAACAAACCGTGACACCATCCCCAACAGAATCTTCAAGGAAAGGCCTTCCCCTTTGCTTTATGTAGGTCAAGGAATCGTCCAAGTGGGCTGCCACTGCCAGGTCCTGCTGAAGGCGCCGTTGGTTGCCCATGGGCCTTCAATGGCTAGTCCGCAACTTTTCAGGAGGCGGGGGCCAAGAGATGTTGACACGGATCCAAGCGTTGAATTGGTTTGAAGAAACGCATTTGGTAGGAAACGGAAAAGATGTTTTCTCTGTGCACTTGGCACTTCATCGGAACACTCCCTTCTCCCGAATGCTGCACGTTCCCCCTATACTGAAACCGATTGAGTATTATTTTTCCATCGCATGGTTCTGCCGCCCCCCAAGTCTAAACCAATTCTCAAGCTGCGACCAAGTTGTGGCAGCGTGGCCAAGTCTGCAGGGCTCAAGGTCAAAGCCCGAAATTCTTCAGGCGCTCGCCCTGAGGACGAACTTGGATCCTGTGTGCTGCCTGCGCCGCTGGGAATTATGCTATCAAGGGCGAGCGCAAGAAGTGCCAGGAAGTGTTGCAAGAAGGCATGTTGCACCTCTGCGGCATTGGTGGCCGCGGTCGGCCTCGACCTGGCTGGCATGGCGTGGCTGTCACGAGAAGCACGTTCCCCTTTAAAGAGTCAAGCTGCTGGTACAAAGTTTGGAAGGGCCGGCGTGAAGTGGCACGTTCTGAAGGAGCTTGCTGCTCGGCAGGGGGGGTGTACTTGGATCACTTTGTTGTACGTTCCACGCTTCAGGCGACGGTTCTTCTCCAGAGGTTTGGAGAAGAACCGTCGCCTGAAGCGTGGAAAGTACGACAAAGTGATCCAAGTAAGCCCTCCTGGGGAGCAGCAAGCTCCTTCAGGACGTGCCACTTCACGTCTGCCTTTCCAAACTTAAGTAGCTCAACTGTACGTTCTGGCAACGCTTGCGCCAGATCCATCCACCGGCCAAGGCTCGGGAACTCCTGTTCGAACTTCGGCCGGCAAAATATGTTGGTTTGCGAGCACCCCCAAAAAAATCACTGCCCAAATCACACACCTGTTGCGAAATGCTTTGGACAGCGGCCACTCCAGCGTGAGGCCTTGCTGAGGCCTTGTAGCAGCGGCTGTAGGATTTGCTGGAGCTGGCAACTCCAAAAGCCTCCTTTCCTGCTGGCCGCCGGGCAGGCGCCCCGAAGATGTTTTGCAAAGAGGTGGTTCAGAATCAAAGGGCCAGGGCCGTTGGATGGTTTAAGTGGGCTTCCCATTTAATCCTGAGAAGTCAGAACAGATGCGATGCAGCCGAGCCACTGACACTGATCCCAGAAAAAAGAGTCCGTTTGTTGGCAGGCGTTGCGCCCGGACAGCTGGAGGCTTTGGCCGTGCGCCTCTTTCAGGAGCGCCCGGGAGAGGCCAAGTGTGCCCCGTTTCGCTTATTTTGGGTGCGGGTTATGAGGTGCAATTTGCTCACAACTTTTTTGGGGTGGCAGACAGCCGTCTCGAACCCCCCCCCTCCGTGTGTGTGTGTGTGGGGATTTTTTCAGAGTGTTTGAGAGGGGAGTGGGGCAGCTAAATTATGGCTGGGCTATTTTGTACAACAGTAGCAAAACCCGTTTGCAGCTTCAGCTGGGCCGCTGTTTGGATCGCTCTGAGGCGCTGTAAATTGTAGCGCCCTAAATAACCGCTCACTCCCAGGAGGCCCGGCAACAGCTGGAGGTGCTACAGAAGGGGCAGTGGAGCTGGCGGTCAAGACAGTGAGCTTCATTTGAGTGCGGCTGCCCTGGCGCCGGTTGAGCCCAGGAGGCTGCAGGTTGAAGATGGCCCACCAACAAAGCACGCCGATGAACGCCTAGGAGCCCCCAACAGCAGCAGGTTGAACACGCATCTAATCAAGCAACATGAACCTGTAGCCACCGGGGCCTTTCTTGGGATCTTATGGAATTCCATGAAAAGCGCCCTCGGCCAGGCTGGCTCTATATTTAAAACCGCGTGGCACTTCTTGATCGTGTGGGCGGCGGCGAGCCACATATTCGTAGATGTTTGCAGCGGAGGTCTGGCACTCCTGTTTTTGGTCAGCATGGCCTAGCGATTGATCCGATGGTCTGTCTGACTCTTGGAGTTCACGCCGAAGGGACAGCCCATGCCTGTCAATCGGCGGATATGCACGCACCAGTGCTTGCGCCTTGGCCATTGCCTGCCGAAGCTCGAAATTGCTCAACGCAGCTGCGGGCCACAGCCCAAAAGCATGATTTTTCTTTTGCTAGAGTGCAAAGAAGTGAAGAGGCCTTTACAGGTTTGCTGAGAGGAAAACAGGGGAATCCAACAGTGTTTGGAGAGTTCCCCATTTTGAGAGAAACCCATTTGATAGCCTTTTGGCAGTCTTTTCTGGGTTTTCTGTTATACATTTGATGGTTCCCACCATTCATTCATCTCACCAGCGAGTGAACCAAAGTGAAGGAGAGATGATAGGGTGAGATGAAAGGAATGGCCCCACATATTAACTCCTTCCTACGACCTCGCTCATCTCTGTCTCTAGGAGTTAATCTGTTGGGTCACAATGGTAACAGCCAGGATGGGATAATGAAAGACAGGAATCAGACCAGAATGAAGCTGTGGACATGAAGACCAACAGATGGGACGGAGAGAGATGAGAGACGTTCCTTCTTCCTTCATGTCACTCCTCTTCTCTTCTTTCATTGTCGTTCACCTTCCGGAAGTTGAGGAACGAAGAGACGAAGGGATGTAGGAAGGAGACAGGCCGCTCTTCCTCTTAATCCCGAGCGGAGAGAGGTCAAGGATTTCATGTCCCATTTCCCTTAGTCTCTTTCCTTGCAGTCAAGGTTAGGGAAATGATAGCCTTCTTTTCATCTCGGTTCCATCCTCATGTCTGACCTGTCGATGAACGAAGGAGAAGAGAAAGGAAAGACATGGCCCGGCTATTCCATCTTTAACCGCCGGGACATAGGAATGACACAGGATATGAGAAAGAAGGGACACCTCACACATCCATCTTACCTCCAATCCCAGTCCTTTCTTTCCTTGTATTTTGGAGGTTAAGGATGTGATGGAAGGTGATATGCTGTGTCAAGCCTTTCCCAACCTACCTTCATTCCAGGCTTGACAGTGGACAGCATTCCATCTCTTTCCTCCTTCCCGCCTTCGTGCGTCCAGTCCTTAACCAATGAAGATAGAAGGGACATAGGCGAGAGAAGGGATCCCACTCACTGTCATGTCGCCCTTCCTCACTCTCTCTCACCGTCTGGTCTCCCTTGACTCGCCCGACAGTGGAGGAAGAGGAGAAGGGAGGGAACAGACGGAAGAGAAGGAACTCAGTGGGGAAAGATGGAAATGATTCCTGGCCAATCCCAAGATGAACTGTTACCGCGCCCTCGCAGGTGGTCCGCTGGCCTCTGGCTGTATAGATAGTGTCCGATGGACCTCGCACGCAGCATGGAGCAGTCGACTTTTGTTTCATGAAGACATGTGGCATGATTGATCACCGCAGCATCATACCAGAGAGGCATGCGCCGCCAATGTCAACAGCGAGAAGAATGCGCCGCACTCTCGCCAAGCGGTGCACAGACACCCCAACACGTCAGTCAGAAACGTTGACGCTTCAGTCACCCGTCGCAGACAGGAACAGACGTCATTTGTGGTTGATTGGGATTTATTGAACACACACACACACCCACTAGCCAGCCACAGTATGGGTTGCCTATTGTGAGTAGCTCATATGCTTGGCTGCTGCCAATGGAGCTGGAGGGCTTGCTGGAAGAGTACAAGATTGATGGCTGCGTCTTTCCCGCGCCTCGATCCGGTTCAGCTCTCTAGCGTCTTTTTGTAGTGTCAAATCCCTGACTATATCTGGCAGGAGCATGTCGTATTACACAGTGTCACCCTGCCGTCAGAGTCCCGAACCGCATGGTAAGAAACGACGGAACACGCAGCCAAACCCCACCATAGATGGTCAATACCTGTAAACACCAGGCATTTTCTGGGCAAGGCAACTCCCATAAGCCCAGCCACCACCGTTCCTCAAAAATAGTTCCCACCCTGGGACAACTTCGGACAAGGTGCAGGGTCTCTTCTCCGCCGAGCACCTGGATGAAATCGACGCCTTGCTGTCGAAGTTGGTGGCGGACCGACCCCAGGCTGGGAGCGAGGAGGGTGGTTGGGTCGGCGGGTACATGCGCATCTAAGTGCTCGTACGTATTTGGGCGCTTGTTTGCGTAAATCATGCTATTTACACATGCAATGCCTACATTGCTGCATCTCTTTGCGCGTGCGAATGTTAGTCAAATCTAAAGTGTGTATATACAAGTAAGGTCCGGCAGAGCCGGGGGGCGGAAGTTTCAAAGCAGTGAACAACTATAGTTTGGAGAACTGTCCTTGGCCCCTTGCTTCTCTCCTCTCTCTCTCTCTCTTTCTCTCTTTCTCTCTTTCTCTCTTTCTCTTTCTGTTTCTCTGTCTCTTTCTCTCTCTTTCTATCTATCTCTCTAGCTATCTCTATATCTGTTTATTGATCTATCTATCTACCCATCTTTCTCTGCACTTAAAAGTTGCGATGTTCAATCCCCGAAAGTTGACTTCGCGTACTACTTTCGTACTTAAAAGTTGCGATTTTCGAGCCCCAGCTGCGAAACTGGACTTCACGTACTACTTTCGTAATTAAAAGTTGCGATTTTCGAGCCCCAGCTACGAAAGTGGACTTCGCGTACTACTTTCGTACTAAAAAGTCGCGATTTTCGAGCCCCAGCTGCGGAAGTGGCTTTGCGTACTACTTTCGTACTTAAAAGTTGCGATTTTCAAGCCCCAGCTGCGAAAGTGGACTTTGCGCACTACTTTCGTACCCCCAGCTACGAAAGTGGACTTCGCGTACTACTTTCGTACTAAAAAGTCGCGATTTTCGAGCCCCAGCTGCGAAAGTGGACTTTGCGTACTACTTTCGTACTTAAAAGTTGCGATTTTCAAGCCCCGGCTGCGAAAGTGGACTTTGCGCACTACTTTCGTACTTAAAAGTTGCGATTTTCAAGCCCCAGCTGCGAAAGTTGACTTCGCGTACTACTTTCGTACTTAAAAGTTGCGATTTTCGAGCCCCGGCTGCGAAAGTTGACCTTGCAAAAATGCTGCGCCTGCCACCAAATCTGTGCTTGACCTTGCTAAAGTGCTGCGCCTGCCACAAAATCTGTACTTGACCTTGCGAAAGTGCTGCGCGTGCCACGAATTTTGCACTTGACCTTGCGAAAGTGCTGCACCTGCCACAAATTCTGTACTTGACCTTGCGAAAGTGATGCGCCTGCCACGAATTTTGTACTTGACCTTGCGAAAGTGCTGCGCCTGCCACGAATTTGGCACTTGACCTTGCGAAAGTGCTGCGCCTGCCACGAAATCTATACTTGACCTTGCGAAAGTGCTGCGCCTGCCACGCAATTCAATCCTTGCGAAACCTTCGCGCGGCCGTGCCAATGGGCCCGTCTCCGAACCCGTTCCGAGACCGTTCCGAGACCGTTCCGAGACCGCCGCCGTACAGGCGTCGCAGCCGAGGTGGTTTGCGCACAGTCCGGAAGCCCAATTCACGCACAGCGCCAACGTTTTCTGCATCTTGCCATCCCCCAGCTCGCAGAGAGTGGACGCAGCACCTTGCGAAAGTGCTGCGCCTGCCACGAAATCGATACTTGACCTTGCGAAAGTGCTGCGCCTGCCACGAAATCTATACTTGACCTTGCGAAAGTGCTGCGCCTGCCACGAAATCTATACTTGACCTTGCGAAAGTGCTGCGCCTGCCACGCAATTCAAACCTTGCGAAACCTTCGCGCGGCCGTGCCAATGGGCCCGTCCCGAGACCGTTCCGAGACCGTTCCGAGACCGTTCCGAGACCGTTCCGAGACCGCCTCCGTACAGGCGTCGCAGCCGAGGTGGTTTGCGCACAGTCCGGAAGAAGCCCAATTCACGCACAGCGCCAACGTTTTCTGCATCTTGCCATCCCCCAGCTCGCAGAGAGTGGACGCAGCACCTTGCGAAAGTGCTGCGCCTGCCACGAAATCGATACTTGACCTTGCGAAAGTGCTGCGCCTGCCACGAAATCTATACTTGACCTTGCGAAAGTGCTGCGCCTGCCACGAAATCTATACTTGACTTGCTTGCGAAAGTGCTGCGCCTGCCACGCAATTCAAACCTTGCGAAACCTTCGCGCGGCCGTGCCAATGGGCCCGTCTCCGAGACCGTTCCGAGACCGTTCCGAGACCGTTCCGAGACCGCCTCCGTACAGGCGTCGCAGCCGAGGTGGTTTGCGCACAGTCCGGAAGCCCAATTCACGCACAGCGCCAACGTTTTCTGCATCTTGCCATCCCCCAGCTCGCAGACAGTGCTTGCGAAAGTGCTGCGCCTGCCACGAAATCTATACTTGAGAAAGCTATCTACGTGTTAAGCTGGCTATATGTCAAAGCTATCTATCTGTCATGCAAGCCTATTGGAAAGCTATCTATCTGTCAAGCTAGCTATATGTCAAAGCTATCTATCTGTCATGCAAGCCTATTGGAAAGCTATCTATCTGTCAAGCTAGCTATATGTCAAAGCTATCTATTTGTCATGCAAGCCTATTGGAAAGCTATCTATCTGTCAAGCTAGCTATATGTCAAAGCTATCTATCTGTCAAGCTAGCTATATGTCAAAGCTATCTATTTGTCATGCTAGCTACCTGTCATAGCTATATGTCAAAGCAGCTAGCTCATTTAGTTCCAGTACTACGGAAGTTTCTTGTTAAGCTTCCTTTGATAAATATATGCGCTTACATACACAGACAGACAGACAGACAGACAGACAGACAGACAGACAGACAGACAGACAGACAGTCAGACAGACAGACAGACAGACAGACAGACAGACAGACAGACAGACAGATATACCTACCTACCTACCTACATGCATACATACATAAATACATACATACAAAACGTGCATACATACATACCTACATACACATACATGCAAACAGACACGCAGACACGGAAACACGCAGACACGCAGACACGGAGACACGCAGACACGCAGACACGCAGACACACAGACACGCAGACACGCAGACAGACAGACACACAGACACACATCCACACACACAAACACACACACAGACACAGAGACACGCAGAGACGCACAGAGACGCACAGAGATGCACAGAGACGCACAAACACACAGACACACACACACACACAGACACACACACACACACAAACAGACACAGACAGAAACAAAAAGACAGACAGACAGACAGACAGACACACAGACACACAGACGCACAGACAGAGAGCCAGACAGACAGACAGACAGGCAGGCAGACAGACAGACATACATACATAAGCCGATCAGGATTGTTGACTTTCTGTGGAGATGCCGGAAACCTGATACCTATGGCATGGCTATGGCAGTGTTAAAACTAAAACGATTTCTGGGGATTCCTTTGGCGAGTTTGGAGTGGCCCTTCCGAGGAATCCGAAGAGAGGTGAAACTCCCCATGTTTTGTGAGTCAAAGCCAGTGACGAGGGAATGCCACACTCGCCAAGTGTGCAGTGCTCAAGTAACGCCTCTCCAACAGCTCTGGCGCATTCTCAAGCTGCATCTCTCTTGGGTCCCTTTGCCCTCACGCGAGGTGGACAAAGGCGACGAGCAGAACCTGGCCCCGGAGGATTTGCTGAACTTGCATCTCATCTGCAAGGTGCCTGCCCTCACATGGTTTTTGGGACAAAACCTATGGCACCACCCTGGCAACGTGCAACACTTGGGGCGTCCTCCTACTTTGCGACCATAATTTTTGTATGAACGTAATCGGCAACTTGTTGTCGATGCATTGTTATTACTAAATCAATGCTATGTCATCATGCATTGCATCAATATGGCTATCATCAATCGGTGCATCAATATTTACGTAGCAGTGTCGTTAGTCTGGGCGGTTCCCAAGGTGCCTGTTGCAGTGGTTCCCCCATGGGGATCATCCACCACTGGATCCACCAACCCCGCATTTTGATCACTTTTTGGGAGGGCGCCCAAGGGCTAAGCTGTTGGTAGTCAAACTGTTTCTCCCATCTTGCCAGAAAACGGTTTGGATGCGCTTCTTGTAGAATTTCACCAGTTCTATACCCTGCAGGTTCTTTTTTGAGACTCTTTTGGTACTCCTATAACATCCTACAGGGGTGGATCCACCGATTCGCCACCTAGCCGTTTTCTCCCGCCTCTGCAATTTCGAGCGAGGAGGTGTTGGACCTCTGCCGTGAGCCGAAGGTGCTGCAAGTGGCCGCGCGGATCCTGGGAACCGAGGACTGGACGCGAGGAAACCGGGCGTAAGTCACGATTCTTATGTTTTGCGTGGGTCAAAGAGTCAAACATGGGGCAAACCCCAAAATTCCACCCTATAGATGGAAACATGGACTAAAACCTGCGGTCCCCGAGTAGTTTCATTTTGAGCCACGTCAACCTGTGCTTACTTAGATGGGCGGTTGCCAATGTCTGGTGGGGGGGGGGGGGTTGGGGCCTTTGGTTTTCCAAGCGTATGTTGTCTTGTCCCCGGGAGGGGGGGGGGGTTTAAGGGCTTGGGGAAAATTGGGCTTGGCTCCTTAGCGAGCATTGTGAGGGTGTATCCGAAGTATGTGTGGGGGTGGGACACCCCTTTGAACAACATTTAAGGATGTCACTTTATGCAGTAGGCCAAATACTTCAATGATGAAAACACGTTGAATCGCGATTGGAAAGGGAAATTATTGAAGTGCTTGTTTCTTTCACCTCGAGGATGCTTGATTTTGGTTGATAAGTTTCATCAAGGGCGACATGGAATCGTTCCTGAACAGGGAATATGATTGCATGCCGTGTTTAATGTCTCACCGCCGAAAGGCTTTTGGCATTTGTTGATGAGGCTCATGTCGGTGGATGAAAAAACAAATACTGAAAAGGGACCTGAACGACTGCTGCCATACTGGATTCTGGTTGATGTAAGGGAGGCATTGAGGGTATATGACCTGCTACGGACGATGCCGTTGCATCACACCGGCAAATCCCATGGTCTTGCCGTAGAATCGCCGTAGAACTAGGGCACGGCCCCGCCAAAATCGACAGATTGTGGATGAGAATTGCGGTGCCCCAGTTTAGGAAACACGTGGAATTTTGCGGACACCCGCGTTTTGTCGGAAGATCTGTGGTGCTTCACTTTTGGATGCAGAGAAATGTGCTGCCGGAGCTGAATTCCAACAACACACTGTTTGTGATGTTTGTGGCTTTTTTCCCCGTGAGTCTGTCGAACACTTGAGAGGTCTACATAATTAGATGGCAAGCAAGAGCTCATATGGTTTGGTCACGGTCCGGTCCAGGTTTCCATCTTGGCGCCTGGAGGACCTCAGTGTTTTTACCTCAAGGATCCTCTGCAAGGAGCCCAAAACGGGCAAAGAGATCGTGTGGCATCAGGACAGGAGGTTGGGCAGATATTTGCCGTGGTCCAAAGACCTACTTGCAGTTGCCAAAGACCTTCTTGGCAGGGAGTTGCAAGTGAGCCATGACTATGGAACATGGAACGTCGACTTTGAAAAGGTCCGGCAAACTTCATGAGCACGCCCACAAATACAAGCGCCAAAAGTGCACGCAATGAATCTCGGGCACGCTGCTCTAAGCTTCTGGCTGGTTTTGCTAGGACTCGAACTACTGGCCCCTGACGGCACCGGACAACCCCAAGCCCACGGGCGACCTGACAGTGGAGGATGTGGCGCCGCAGGTTACGTCGCTGTGGTTGGCCCTGGACCCATGGTTGCGCTTGGCGAAACGTCTTGCGCCTTTCGGGTTTCGCTCATTTTCCCTTGCAACTAGCAATCAGGGAACACTTCTACAAACATCTGAACCTTGAAGCTTTGGACCTACACCACAGTTTCCCTCGTTCTGGTTTCGCATCGGGTTCTTTATGACTCGCTGGTCAGACCCGTCGGTCGCGGTGGGATCCATCGGATTCGCTGAGGACCCGGTGACCCAAAGAAACGGCGCCATGGAGGTTTTGCCCTTCTCGGCGCAACCTGAGAGCTGCCAGACGTTGCCGAAGGAATTTGTGGTGGACTCGGGGGGATCCACGGATGGCCACGTGGCATTGAACGGGTGGAGGTTATGCTGGTTGAGGTTTTTGACGGTGTTTGCTGTTTTCGACGAGTTTCGCTGCACTTTGTCGTTTTCATTGTCTACTTGGTTTGTGTGTCCTTGTCAAGTTGCAGCCACGCTTAGGTTTTGATAACTTCAACCTCTCCTTAGATGAGACCAAGCTGAATGTCAGCAAGCGCCGGAGGGTCTCCATCCAGCGTGGCGAGGCGGAGTTCCATTCCGCCTACACCATCCATCGCTCGGATGCCAACCGCAGCGACGTCCGCCGCATGGCGTGGATTGTCCGCTACTGCGCCACAGGCACCAGGGTGGTCCCCGGGGTCCGTGGGTCCTTCGACGGCGGCTACCAGCTGGTGCCTCTTGCAGCCAAAGCAAAGCTGCGACTGTGCTCAGTCTCCGACAAGGGGGAAGATGGCCGTGTGCTGCGCAGCATCTATGCGCCGTGCTTTGGCAATGCTGTGAAGGAGTTGAAGAAGTGAGACGGCCAGGGGCATCTGCGCGGAAAAGTGATGCAGATTGCCCAAGACTTGTATGTCCAGGCGTGCAAGTAAGTGTGTTCAAACATTGCCATGCGCTGACCCTTTGTTAATACTGGGCCAGTTTTTGTTTTTCTGCTTGGTCCTCTTGTGGTTCGGGGCGGATCCTGGGGTCAGCTGGGCCATCTCCCAGCACCAAGCCGGAACCCCACCGCCGGCCAACAACAGCACGGCTGCGGACATTGCGCGTGTCATGCTTGCTTGATATTTGCAGAATTTAGCGCAAGCCAGCTGAAAGGGGTGTGTGTTAGCGGAAATGGGCCTCCTTGCTTGGGTGACGTGCGTGGCGCTTAGCATTTTGACTTGTCGACACGTTTGTGAGGCCATATGTTTTTAGTTGCTTTGCATGCTCATGCTCGCTGACTTCAAGGCTCCCCAGCCGGCTCCGGTCAGCCAACAAGTGGCACCAAGAGTTTGTTGTTGAGGTTGGTGCATTTTGCCAGCTGGGTTGCAATCGCTGTGCTGTGCTGTCAAGGTTTTTAGACTCTAGGCTCCGGGTCGCTTTCCGTGATACCACGGCAGCCATCACTGAAATGATCATATTTTTGTGTGGTGCGCGGCTGAGAGTGTTTCAGCCAACCATGTTTCTGTTCAAGCCCATTTGGGGGGTTGACGCGATAATATAAATGGTTGTTCCAAAGCTTTTCGTTTCCACTCAGCAGGCTCTCAATAGGAGATTTGTCACTGGTTCCGCACATTTCATGGCTCACTTGGGGATGAAAGGAGCTCAAAGTGATGTAGGTTCTCTCTTTGGATTCTTCTAAAGACAGAAAGCGACCTTCAGTCAGGTTGGGGGCAAAATAGTGAGGGGTGGGGGGGCCGCAGCCGTGCTGGCGATTCACTTGCGGATGATGCCGGAATGCTGATGATGCTGATACCAGTGGGAGCTGGTGGCTGTGCTTGTTCTGTTGGCATCATTGCTTCTGAACGCCTTGCATGTCGACCATCGCTTCTGGCTTTGGCTGGCTTTGCTTCCCGCAGCGCGGACGGATGGAGGTGTTCCCACTCAAGTACCGTCTTCATTGGGACTTTTAACAAGCGGCTTTTGCAGATTTGTCTGGGCGTTCCATGCGACGGTTGCCCAGGTGGTTCCTTGAATGACTCGGACGAGCATGGGCCATCGCCTGTGCAGCAGGTGGGGGTTTGCGGGCTGCGGGGCAAGAGGCTCATGTGGCCGCCCAGTTAAAGCATCCCCACCCCCTCACAAATGGAATTGGGGGAGGGGGGGCTCCTCCATTTTCCCTTGTCCCTTTTCTGTGCAAGACTAGATAAATGGAATTGGGGGACCCCCCACCCGCCTCCGTGTGAAGGTAGGGGGGATGTTGGAATTTTCGTACGTGGGAGTTGTTGGAATTCATGGTTTCTTGGGCTTGACGTCCTTTGCTTACCTTCGAACTTTAGAGGCTGATGTCATTTTTCATCGGCTTCCTGACGGTGTGACAGTGACATATATTTCTCGGAGAACCCAGCTCGATTTCGTGAGGCGAGTGTCCGCAAACACGTTTTGATCTTTTCCCCTGTTTGCGTGTGCAAAAGTAGCTGAATTGGTCCCCTCATGCCGCGAGCACTTTTCTCGTTATTGCTTGCAAGTTGCAACATTGCTGGGGGAGGGGGTTAAGCTCTGCTCACCCCTTTTTGAAGAGAGAAAGCCGGAGCCAGGCCGGTGCCAAAACGGCCAGCCCAACAGAAGCCAAGGCAGGAAGCGGGCGTTCGGCAGCAGGCCGCGTTTCTCTGTGTGTGTGTGTTCCTGTGTGCCTGTGTATGGGCTTGTTTAATTGGATGCCAGAAGGAACACCAACTTGTAGCGTCTCCCCTATGTTGACACGTGCCCAAATATAGGTCCTGATTCATTGGGGGAGGCGAAGGAATCAGAACGTAAAATGATTTTCATGGTGGATTTGAGCAAAAGTTATTGAACCACAAATCGGAAGAAAAGGCTGTCGTTCCGCAGCCATTTGGAGCATTTGGACCGATTCCCTTTGGCTCCCTTGTGCAGCTCATCTACTGGGCCCTCATTTTAAGGCCCATGTGCAAAGACGGGTTTGAAGACAAAATGGTTTCCACCACGGCCTCGCTTGCCGAAAAAAACCCTGAAACAAACATGCAAAAGCCCCTGAACGACTCACACAAATTTACTAGTCCATCAACCGACATTCGCGGTTTCAGGTGTGAACCTGTTGTTTGCAAGCCATGATGCGTCATGCCACGCCCTGCAAGTGCAAACTGTATCGGATACAGTTAAAGCACCGCCCCGGTCCCAGTGCCAACTTCTGAGGTTGTTGGATGGTAACTTCCTCTGGTTTTAAACATCACCCTTTGGGGCGGGTGGCAGGTCGGGAAAATAGGAACCCCCACTTCATCCTTACTCCGAGTCTGCCTCTTCAATGACCCAAAACATTGGAATGGGCGCGCGTCTCCAAAAATGAGCCATGGTCGCAAGGGGATAGCTGTGTGTAATCAGAAAAACCTCCCCATCACCCCAAAAGCCGTCCGAGATGTTTGGGGTGAGGCCAAGCAGAGCAAGGCCCAGCGACGAGTTCTTTCAGAGAGGCGGGCTAAAGGTTTTTGCAAGAAGTTTGTACCTGCAAGCTGTGGTTTTTTTTGGAAAACGGGAGCTGAACGGGAAGCCACCAATTTGGGAGTTCCAAAGATTGAGACAAAGCCGCGTACTGAAGCAGATGTGGGTCAGTAAAGGGAATGACTAAGCCAAAATGGGTGGCGCCTCAAAGAAAGGAAGGTGCCCGCATGAAAGCCGTTCGAGAAACGCTGGCAGATGTAAAATCAGGAAAAATCAGCCGACATGGCTGCGAAAGATGCAATTGGCAGTTTCCGCGTAGATTTCGGAAATTCCGCTCATTTGGCGAAATTAGCAAAACAACACGCAACAAGCAAACATTTGTTCCTTTTTGAGGTCCGGGTGCATATATATATATATATATATACATATTTACACATATGTATACCCTGCAAAAAAAAAAAAAAACATGGAACCCAAAAGGAGTTTGTCTAGACATGGGTCTATCAGTAGAGTATTCGCAAACTTCGAGGATGCCCCTCATGCGCCCAGAAAGCTTGCAGCAATCCTCGTAAACGCCCCGTTGCAGAGGGAGGGGGCTGAAGAGGGGCGCCATGCGGCCGCAAGGGCAGCAGCTCGCTGTGCCATGGGTCACTTGAAGCATAGATTTGGGCCAGTCAAAAGTTACCTTTGCCATCTGACTTAGAGGATTTCCTGAAAAGTCAAGGGGTTCTTGGCTGTATCTTTTAAGGAATCCTGACGCCGTGGCAAAAAACAATTGACGCACGCTCCCCAAGCCCTAGAAGCAACGACTGAAAGGAGGTGGTCTGCCTCGAGGGCTCTTTTGCAGCCAGTGGCTTCCCACCCGTGTCCAATCACGAGACCCCTCAAGGGAGACCAAGAAAAGGTGGGTTAACCAATTTAGAGCCACAATGCAATGGTTCAAGCATGCTTCCTATGATGAGTCACAATGGCCCTATTATATAGCCCTTCTTAGGCACCTACCAACCCCCCACTAACCACGCACTAACGACGCGCCAACCACCCACTAACCACCCACTACCCACCAACCCCCCACTAACCACGCATCAACGCACCAACCACCCGCAAACCACCCGCAAACCACGCACTAACCACTAAACACCCACTAACCACCCACTAACCACCCGCTAACCACTCGCCCACCACCCACTATCCACCTACTATCCACGCACAAACCACGCGCTAACCACGCACTAACCACCCGCCAACCACCCGCTAACCACCCACTAACCACCCACCAAGCCCCCATTAACCGCCTACTAACCACGCACTAACCACGCACCAACCACCCGCAAACCACGCACTAGCCACCCACTATCTCAGAGTAAAGCCACTAAATGATTGCGTGCTTAGCTGGTGAGTGGTTCGCGTGCCGAGAGGGCTCTGGCCCAGGAGGGTGTCTCGGAAGGCATCGCGAGAAATGAGCGCCCGCGACCAAGCGCAGAACCTCGTAGTTATGACTGGCTTCCCAATGCCCTTCCTGCCATGATGGGCCAAAGTGACGTTGGGGATTGCGGTTTTCTGACGACCTGGGGCTTGCGTGACCTGATCAAAAAAGGGGCCCCCACTTTGATAGGGGTCCCTGGATTGATTTACCGAACTTTGTGTGTTTGCTTTTTCTGGTTTGGTGGCGAATGGAACCAATACTAAAGTTTAGAACCAGTTGAGGTCAACAGGCACTTGCCCTGAGTGAGTCACTATGCGCTACGGCTGGAAAATTTCCGCCGCCCTGCGCGAATGGCAACGGCAAAAGGCAACATGCTCTTTGCCGACGCCCCTGCAAATTAAAATGGAGCCCAAACGAGGGTCGAAAGAGATTCCACATATGAAATGGGTCAGTTTTCTGGGCTCCATTTGCAGGGGAGTAACTTCCAGATCATCTAAATCGAAGGCTTGCTGGGCGGTTCTCTTTGAGAACTCTTGGAACTCCACTTCCTGGATGGATTTGGATTTGTCTCCAGATGGGTGTGTGCGTTGTTTGAGGGTACCATTTTCAGGTGGGGTCAAAGGGGGAAGACAAAGAAAGTCAACATGTTATCCATTTTGATAAGTGCTCAAATGTGGGAACAAGCCCTCAAAGCATGTGACAAGAGGGGTCAACCCCCAAAAGCTGTGCTCTCGGAAAGACGCGCCCAAATGATTTGCTTTGGAAGTCCCGTTTTCTCTGACACTAAGGCAAGCAAGTTGGAAGTGACGAAGCGAACAGAGGGATGGAAGCTTCATTCATTTGCTCAGCAAATACTTTCTAGCACAGGAGGCGCAGGTACTGATGTGGATGCATCACCCAATCCCACATCCGAATCTCCAGTTCTAAAACAGATCACAATGGCACCTCACAGGGGTGGTCTGGAAGATCATTTTCTGATATTTTTGGTTCAATGGCAACGTGGGCCAGAAGGTAGCAAGACTTCTTTTGGAGAAGTTTTGCCGACAATGCTTCC